TTTCACAGCTGAGACAAATACTTGCAAAGTCTGCAGAGTTTCACTAACTCCCTTTGTTCAAATCATACTTCCCAGGGCAGATTTAATTTCAACAGGCACACAGCACGTTGGTAACGTTTACAAATACCCAAGCCCCCGCAAGGAGACAACTTCTTGCGAGTGCTCCCTTTTTATCAAGTCAGATCCTTTGGACAAGAAGTAGGACCCCAAGGCTGCTCCCCCTCCAACGTGGCAGCCGCAAGGGGTCTCGTTTACCTCCTTCCAAGATGAGATCGTTAACCAGGAAGTCTTGCATTTTTAAGGCACAATTCTGAAATCTCATTAATACGTTTTAGATGATAAAACGGAGCTCAATTTTAGGGAAAAAAAAATGTGGCAGAGAATGACCAGAATTTGAATTAACCTGCAGTTTCATTTACAAGCCATGCAATAAGAGCAGAAGGCTTGCTTCGCGCACGGCCCGGTCCTTGGTGCTGGAGCGTGCTCCGGTACACGCGATTGCACCCCCTCTCTGCGCCCACCCCCCGACTCCGGCCCTTTCCGACCCCGGCGAGATGCGCAGCTGGACTCTCGACCACGCCAACTGCTGCGCGGAGTCGCCTCGCGCGTGGGGGTTCAGGGTCTCCCTTCCGCGGGAAACTCAATTTTCGTGCCCGGAGCGATTTCCTATCTCCTTGGGGGCGAGGCCCAGCTCCACCTTCAGGATTTTTGAAGCAGCCCGGCGGCTACAGGCACTCAGTAACGCACAGAACAAAAGCAAAGATCATCCCTTTCCTTGCCGGCTCAAGAGCTGCTTGCGTGCTGGCTCCGTGGCTTAGCTGGTTAAAGCGCCTGTCTAGTAAACAGGAGATCCTGGGTTCGAATCCCAGCGGGGCCTTTTGTGGTTTTTCCCTGTCTTCGTCATCACGGAAATAATTCAATCCTGACCTTGAAGGCTACTTTCCCCAAGGGGGTTTCGTCCAAGTGTTTTATGCGATCCGAAGGGGACTCTCATGGTAGGCAAAGAGGATGCACAGATGACTTTGCTTGTCTTTCAGAAGAAAGAATTCTTGTGTTTCATGATTTTCTTTATATTTTTATTCCATATAACATTGGTGCAGCAAACAGGAAAGGGATCAGGAGAAGCAGAGGGACACCTCACCAAATGTGAACTATAAGCACCATCGTAATTGGTCCTTCCAGTGTCTTTCGCGGGGTATCCCCGGTACACTCACCGTCTGCACTCAGAGCTTTCAGAAAGGTCAACGCTGGAGTGATGGATAGAACTGCTGAAGGCTCCAGCATCTCCGACCGTCCGTAGTAGCCAGTAAACTCCAACCATACAAAACAGACAGTAATTTACTGTTTTAAAAAAGTTGCATTGTGCTGAAAGTTTTTTTTTTGGGGGGGGGGTGTGAGGGGGAGTCAAAGTGAAAATAAATATTTGTCACCATGCCTTCAGAAAAGACACTGTTGGGAAGAAGCCTCTATCTGAGTGCAGAACACAGTGGCTAGCTGCTGGAAAAGACGGACTTGAACTCCAGGAAGGGCTGAGGTTCCTTCTCCCAAACTCTTCAAGAGGGAGAAAGAAGTCAATTTTATGTTAGCCAAGAGTTCTTTCAAAAAAAAAAAAAAAAAAAAGCCAGACCAGGGAAGTGCAAGTTCATTGTCACTGCTACCAGTCTCCTCTCCTGTCTTTTAAGACCAGGTTCCAAAAGAACATTCCGCCAGCTTGACTTTTGCCATTGGAGCATATTATTTTTTGTAGATAGTCAAGGATTGAAATATGACCTCCTGACCTATCTTTGGAAACTGAATGTCCCCGTACTTGGAGACCTGGTTCAGGAAGCAACTCCACCTTTATGGGGAATTTCTGCTCCCCCCCTGCAATGTAATCCCCACCTTTCCCTAAAGAAAGATAAACCCTCTTTTTCCACAAGATTTTTCTCTTTTCTGCTCATGAATGCCTTCTATTTTTTTTTTTTTTTCCAGACTCAGAGTGCAGATCTCCCTCAAATAATGAGATGCACTGGGTGCAGCTGTCAGCGGTACACCACTTCATCCTGCTACCAAACCTGCCTTATCCACTCCCTGCCCGTTAGGTTGAGCCCCAGGAACATTTTCCCAGGGAAGCTGCCAGCCAAAGAGTCCTCAGGGGAGTGCATGGTTTATATATGGAGGCGGTGGTGCTGGCTCCTGAACCCATAGCACGCTGCACATGAGGAGAGTCACCATCTCTTCCAACGGCCCACTCATTTCCCAACTCTCCTAATAGTCATCAGTTATGGAAGTGATGTATGTGTACAAGTGGAAGTGAGTCACCATCAAATACTTGTGTATCTGATCAGTGGCTGTTTGTAGAAGATCTTTCTCTCCTGCGCCAGGCACCCTCATCACACACAAGTTGTGAGTTCTGCCCTGAGGAGGCTGGTGTGAGGGTGACAATTTTGTGCCACGAATCACACAGTGGGATGTAGTCCACTGGGAGTGTGTGGGGGGCACCACAAGCTGTATTTGGACATTTAGACTGGGTGGGTGTGCAAGGAGGAGAGACCATGCGAGAACTCACTTCCAAACTGTTGCATGTGGGAGATGTAAGCTTACCCAGGCAAGAGAATGGGCAGGAGGAGTGAAATAAATGTTCTAGGCAAAGGGCACCATGTATACCAAGGTGAGCTAGGGCTTGCCAAGCTCTGAAAAGTGGAAGTGTTTAGGGAGGGCACATGCGAGTCTGGATGCTTCTCCTTGTCTGGAGAGGACTGTGGGCCCTTGGGCATCTTTGCCACACGCGGCCTCACAGATGGACTGGACTTGGCAGTGGCTAAGAGTCAAGTGTTTCATGCTTTCTTTTCAAAGACCGAGAATCACCACAGCAGTGTGATGGCGTGAGAATTTACCAGTGTGGGTTATGTAGGCCTTTGCTGAGGTTCTCCTGGGGGCAGGTGGAGAGAGGAGGGGCCGTTTCTCTTCCCATCCTGAACAACCAGGCTCGTAGTGTGTCTTTGTGCCAGCCTGTCGACAGCTGCGGCAGGGGCTGCACCTGTCCTGTTCACTGCTGGTCCTCCAGAGATCAAGCACAGGGTCTGGCTGGCAGCAGTGAGATGGCTAGTTTTAGGTATCAGGGTCCCCCCCCTAAAAATTGTTCCTGGGTGTTTTCTCTGAGGGTATTTCTGGATGAGGCCAGCATTTGAATCAGTAGACCAGTGTGGTGGGCACCTTCCAATCTGTTGAGGGCCTGGGTAGAGCAAAAGGCTGAAGAAGCAGGGGCCCACCACTTCCCACCCCAGCCCAGCCTCCAGCTCATCTCTCCTCCTGCTCTCCCACCTGCTGACCGGCTTTTGGGCCTTGTATCTGGGCTGAATCACACTCGCTGCTTTCCTTGGGGTCCAGCTTGCAGACCACACACCATGGGGCTCAGCAGCCTGAATAGCAGCAGGAGCCAACTCCTAGTAATCTCTCCTGATGGACAGACCATTTGTTTTATTTCTCCGGAGAACCCCGCCTCATAATACTCAATTGTGACCAAAAACCCATCCATCAAGCATTTGTTATTTGCCAGGCATCTTCTAACCACTTCATGCATACTAAGTCAGAGATTCTCACAACTGACTTCTGGAGTAAGGTACAATTATTTTCCAACTTTAAAGAGGAGGAGGCCGAGGCTCAAGGATGCAAAGTTACTTGCCTAGAAGGTCCTATAGCTTGTCGGTGACAGAATCCGGGGTGAACCCTGCAGCCTGGCTTGAACTGGAGCAGCCTGCTGCCCTTCCAACAGCTAGAAGTGCTTCTCATCACCCAACGGGTGCCTGCTTGCCATTTCCTCCTTTCTCTTATGTTGCCACAGCCGATGGAAACTTGAAATCGTCTTTAATCTCAATGTTGGGATGGGTCAACATGGAATAAATGCATGGCCACCTGGGCAGTAAGAGGAGGCCCCGTTTGTTCTTCACTAGCCTTGGAGATGATAGTCTTTCTAAGATATATACATTTACTTTTCTTTCAATGGATAGATGACTATGCATTTTGGGAAATTTTGGAGGGAGGGAATGAGTACAAAGATTTTGAATACTGATAACTGTAAAACAGATTCACACTACATGTTGCCTTTGTAACCTGGCATTAGATTGAATTTCATTTTTAAAAAGATATGGTGAAGAGAACATTGCAGTCATCTGAGCTTTTTGATTCACTGGGGCTTTGCAATAAATCAGTTCAAAGCAGAAGCATTGTGTGTTCATATTTGTAGCTATTAATGTTCAAGTTGAGAGGACATCAGCAAACTTGAACTTGAGGGACATTTCTGCAGATGTCACTAATCATGAACTTTTGTGCGTCGAAATCGTGCTTCCTGGTTCCTGTGTCCTGTTCTGACTGCAAAACTAGTGGCTAGGGCCAGCGTGACCTCACTCAGCAGACCTCCGGGCAGCAATAAAAGCAGCCGGTCTAGGCGTGCACAAAACATAGCTGTGCCAAAGGAGTAAAGAAAAAACAGAATGAGGCCTGTGACAGAGTGATATTTATGTAAATTAAAACACAGGCACTCAAAGGACTAATACATGTTCTACAAAACGCATTGAAAGAAAAGGGGGATAAATGTGAAAAGGAAAGGAAATCAAAAAGAAAAAAAGCAATATATAAATACACAAAACAAAAGAGAGGCTCTTGAAGACATCAGTGTTGACAATGGGCCATAAACTAAACAGTAGCATTCATTCAATTGTCTCCGAAGGATAGACAACTACCGAAAATAGAGGGAGGAGATTAAGTTTAAAATTACCGGCATTCAGATTACCTTCTGAGAACAGTACGCACTCATTCTATAGGTAAAATGATTTTTTGTTTCGTAGTTTTTAAAAATTTGGCTACTGTAGCGAACTGGAAAAAAACTGAGCGTGAAAAAGACATAGCTACTGTCAGGAGTGGGATTCGAACCCACGCCTCCAGGGGAGACTGCGACCTGAACGCAGCGCCTTAGACCGCTCGGCCATCCTGACCCGCTGGCAACCAGCGCCGCTCAAAAGTTACTTCAGTCTGTCTCTTAACGCTTTTCAACGGCTTCTCCCCGCAGCTCCCCTCAGGCGCGTCCGGCGTACTCATCCCTGCGAGCGGGGGCCCAGGGACGGCTCGTCTGCTTCCTGGCCTGAGTCTGTGCACTTTTTGGGTGTGGGGGTTGCGGTGATTAAAAAACTTTTGAAAACCAAACAGAAAACAAAACCGCTGAGTAGTTTCTGTAGCTCCCCGACCGCCAGGCTTCTCCGGGGTCGCGGCCCCCGCGGGACCCCCGCAAGCGGCGGCGGCGCCGACCGGAAGTGGGGCGCCGGAATGGCGGCGTGGAAGCGCGGCCGAGGCGAGGGCGCCGAGTCGTGGGCCTAGGCAGCTGCTGTCCCGCACCCGCCAGTCTCACGTGAGTTTGGCTGATGAGATACAACGCTGAATTCCTTAAGTTAAGCTTCGCATTTCTGTCTCCAGGGAACCAGTTAGATGCAGATGTTCAGCCCGGCCCTGACCTGTTGAATCAGAAGTTTCGCTGCTTACAAAACTGTGATCTTACTTAATGGCAATGTTATTCTACACTTCAGAACGGACAGAACGTTTTTAAATATTCTCACCACACAGTAAGGAAAAGGGGTACAGATCGGAGAGGAGACAGGATACGAACTCGCAGCCAAATCTGATTTATTTGCAGAAAATAAATTCACAGAGGTGGTTGGCAAGCTGTCAGCGCACACACAGACCGGCTGAGATGGTGCAACACACAGAGCCCATACCTTAGTGGGCTGGGCTTTTTATATCCTAGGTGGGCTAGGGGTCGGGAAGGGAGGTGGGGGCGCCTGGCTTTCGAAAAGAATGCAGGGGGTAGGGTGTGGAAGAACACAGGGTGTGAGACCGCATAGATCTCTTGAAAGAGGCAGGGGTAACATCTTGGAAGGCTGTTGGCACCATATCCGGTGCATTTATGAAACTGGAAAACTTGGCAGTAAGGCCAAAGGAAGTTCACCAGATCGGAAATGCCAGTTTAAACAGATTTCATTCGAATGATCTAGCCTGGGAATTCTCAGTCTCTTGCTAAGGCACCAGTAAGCATCATGTGAGGGATGTACCAGTTAGGACGAGGTGGCTTCAGTTAGTGTAAGAAGGTTTCAAGATCACTGTGGCATGAACAACAAAGAAAATTAGCTTTCTCTGTTTTAAAATTTATTGTTTTTATGAAAAGCAGAGTTATATATATATAGAGAGAGATCTTCCATCTGCTGATTCACTCCCCAAATGGCCACGATGGCCAGGCAGAATCCATCTGGGTCTCCCACATGGGTGCAGGGGTCCAAGCACTACTTGGGCCATCCTCTGCTGCTTTCCCATGTTGCCAGCAGGGAACTACATCAGAATGGAGCTGCCAGGACTTGAACTGGCACCCATTTGGGATGCCAGCATCGGTCACAGCAGTTTAAGCACGTTTTGCCACAATGTTGGCCCCTGAAATTTATCTTTGTAGAAAGGAAGACTCAAGCCAGCAAGCGGTTGTGCCAGGTGAAGTCCCCAGGATCCAGGCTCTGCTTGTCTCAGTCTTGGGCGGTTGGTTACCTGTATCTCCTGCTCTGAGATGAACCCTCTGTTCATGCCTGGTTCGAGCATGGAAGGGTCAGGTGTCTATCTTGAAAAAACACAAGCCAAAAGCTGCACAGATCATTGCTTTCACTTTCTGCTTGCCAGAACACTGTCCGTGGGTGCGCTAGATACAAGTGGAAAATGTCATCCTCATTCTGGGCGGCTATGCGTCCGGCTAAAATTTGGGAGTAGGCAAGAGCAGATCTGGGTGAAATCTACCAATCTCTGTTACGTGGGATTAAAAATAGGGACTCCAGTCTCACAAAGAGGATCAAATGGAGACTCGTTCAACTTTAACTTTCTATGTGTTTATCACTGTATCTCCCATTAATTCATGTGGCCTGCTTAAATCTCTTATGTCTGTTATATAGCAACCATGTCTGCACCTCAAAGGATTTCAAACTGCAGTTAAACCCCAAATCAGGTGTTGGATTTGGTCATATTTGTTGGATGAGATTTTAATTCTTAGAATAAAATGTCATGTGTTTTCAGGAAAATAAGTTCCTTCCAATTTGAAATGAGCTGTGGAACGGGAATAAATAGCTAGGGAGTGGGGAGTGGGCTCTCAGGGGCTGGTGCAGCTGGGAGGTCTTAGTGAGGTCAGAGGTAGACAGAGAAGGCAGGGTCTGAGAGGTACTGAGGGCCAGCATGGAGGGGCTGCTGCTGTGCCCGCGTTTCCCTTTCAATCTGAGTGTCTGGGCTGAGTCACCTTGTTACTGTCCCCAGTGCCAAATCAGAATGAGGAGGACAATGTTGGAGAGTAAAGGAAAGAGAAAGTTTATCTCTTGGCAGATGAGGACAGTAGCAGGTTGACATCTTAGAAACCACTGTCCTGCTTAGTGATGATGGTCTGGGGTTTCCGTGAACACTACAAAGGGAGGGTGGGAAGCTGGTGTCTCTCAGACCTCCTTCCAGTTCCTTGGGAAACTCGCGAGCTGGCTTGACTTTATCCCGGGGAAGACATAGCAGGATATGATGTGCTACGAAACAGTATTTGACTGAGATCTGAAAGATGCGAAGTATTACCTTAAGTTAAGAAATTTCAGTGTTTCATTAATCAGGGTGAAGCCCACTCAGCCTGAAGCCCGTGCTTATCATACCCTTGGTTATTTGTATCTCTTTGCATTTTGGTAAACAGATTCGAACCTTTGGTCCTGCCAATCAGGGAGGGCTAGATGAGTTTGCAAGTGCAGCTGGCTTTTCTCAAGACGTTTCTGGATTTCACAGACAAGCATTATTTAGCTGTTTGAACAGACACTTTAGTCAGTCACTGGATCAATATATTTTTTTATCAGAATATGAAAAGGAAAATAAAGATATATTTGGTCTGATAACAGAGGCAAACATGCACACACCATTAAAACAATAATAACTGACTTCATTTTGTGCTGCCAACTGCCAGCTCTGTGGCCACATGCTTGCCTCTGCTTATCAGACGGCACCCATATGGGATGCCGGTGTCGTGGTAGTCAGAGGCCTCGCCTACCACAGTACTGTGGCCTTTTCAGAAGTAGTTTGATTCCAAGCTTCCCTGCCTGGGGAGCCCACAGCTGTCAGGCTGGAGATGGCCTGGGGTCATGCAGAATGGCGCTATCTCGGCCAGCGGAATCCGCATGTGGATTCTTCCCTCAGTTTCCGTCAAGAAAGGAAGGTTCAGAGGCTGCTTTCAGCATGTAGACAGACTCATTTATTAGGTAAAGACTGTGGCAACAGCGATCCTGGAAGGTGGGAAAATACAGTGAAAATGGAAGGAGTGACCCAGGGTAAACTTGCAGTCCATTGGGAAAATAAGCGGCTCGTTGGCAGGAAAACGCTCCGGGGCAAATCCAAACCGAGGTAATCAATGTAGGGACTGAGCACAGTGACACAGAGCTGGGGGGGCAGCCGCACATTGTGGGAATGCATGGCCCTGGAAGGTGCCTGAAGGTGGGGGAGGGTTTGCACAAGGGGGTGAGGGCTGAGGGGCCTGAGGCTGAGACTGTGGCTGATGAAGTGTTGCTATCACTGGAGGATGGTTCCTGGACATATCTTTGACGTGAAATGGAACTCGTGGAGTCAACAAAGCGAGGTTAGACTGACCCGCAGGCAAGGGAGGGAAAGCTGGGGCACAGGGTACAGAGAGAGGGACAAGCCCAAGGCAAGGCTGTGCAGATCGCTTTGCCTTTTGTCCAGAATTATCTCCTCTGTCACACTTTCTGTGCAACCCCGTGAAGCTCTTCTACTCCCTGGCTCAGCTCCCATAGAAGTAGGACCAGCTTCCTCTGTCTTCTAGGACATGTCTTAGAAAATTTGAGATATAGGCCTAAAAACCCTAGGGGCAGGCCAAGGGGTTCACGTCACTTTACTCCATCATGATGTCCCCTCCAAACTCCCATAAGGAATTTCAGCCTGAAATCATCCTTCCTGGTACCCTGTGGATTTGCCTAAAACCCATTCCTCCACATGCCCCTGTTCTGGATACCAAGACACTTCTGCCACAACTCCATGCCAGCCTGGGCCCATTTTGATCCCAGAGCTATCCTTTGCGTTTGCCTCAAGCCCTCCCCTGCAGTTTCTAATTTTATGGGATAAGAAAATACTAAGAGCAGTGTAAGAGTCACCCCTCCATCTCTCGAAAATCGGTATGGAAACAGGTTAGGAAGGTCCTTCTCCCCACTCTGTAGCAGCAGCAGCGTAACCTTCCCAAGACAAGTTAATTGCTGCCCAACAGGAAGCACGAAGGCTGGCTGGCACTGGCAGCTGAAGCCCCAGGGTGATGGAGGAGAAGGTTAGAGCGAAGAGAGCTGCACTGGGACATTCCTTAAGGTGTCCCTTGGCCTGGTTGGGTAGGGATTAATTTAGAATGGAGAGTGTCTGTGTCCCCAGAGGCAGCATACTCCCCCATAGGGGACAATGGGATGTCCTTAGAGAGGCCCTGGGCATCAGCAGCTACTGTGACCCCCTCAGGCCCGCCAGCAGTTGGGCAGATGGTCAGAGGCTTCTTCCCGCAGGACCACAGGCAAAAGAAGGGCCGGAGAGGGCCCGAGAAAGAGATGTTGGAGAAAGAATAGATATGGGATCCATCGGTCATGTTGTAGAAGGAGACGTCTCCTGCGTCACAGTCCAGGAAAATCCCAACCCTGCGGGGGGGTCCTGCCAACGGGAGAGGAGTCCGCAGCGGCGTGAGGGCCCAGTAGCCATTTCCATAGAGCTCCACAGCCCAGAAGCCATTCTCAGGAGTCAGGGGGTCGAATCCTTTCTTGACCACGTTCTCCCTGCACACGCCAATGGCCCAGTCAGTCCTGTCTCCCACCTCCACCTCCCAGTAATGCCTGCCCAAGGTCAAGGTCTCACGGCCCAGCACACAGGGCCAGGAGTCAAATCTCTCTGGTTTCTCAGGCAGTTTCTGACGGGAATCTTCCAGGCAAACAGATTTTGAATCTTCATATAGGAAGAGGTGCGGGTGGGCTGTGTCTGGGTCCAGAGTCACATCAACTGGAGAGAGAGAGAGAAAGAGGGAGAGCAGGGCTGACCACGGGTGAAGAGGTGGGAGCTGGGCTGCTCAGGGGTCTCCATCCCCATGGGCCCCTCCCTCCTGGGTAGCTACATGTGATGTAAGGGCTGACTGTCCCTAATGGGACTCTGTCAGAGGGTGTTTGTCCCTGGGCCATCAGCAAGGGGCCTCTGTGTCTCCAGGAGAGTGTGGAGTTCCTGTGCACTGCCTCTCCCCTTTCTCTTCTCACTAGAGTGTGCTGGTATTTTCATATTCAATGTTGTAGATGGAATTCCTGGGCCATGAGCCACTGACCTGCGTGCAAGGTGGCCTTTTTCCATTCTGCAATGAAAAAGAGAGGTTGTCACTGACAGATTACCTAATAAGACAGAGAAAACCCTGTGCATGAGATAACAACAAGACTGAACTTACTGAGTTCCTCCAGGAGTTTCTCTGGAAAACAAACAGAAATAACTCAATGGACAGAACTGGTGTGGAAGACACAACAAAGGCGACACTGTTTACTTCATGGTCACCTCACTACTGAAACATTATCAAGAAATCAAAAACAAGGATTGTTTTGTTTTATTTTCTAGGAAATATGCAGAAAGTTCTTACTGGCTTGGGATCAGATCCTTAATAGTAAGATCCTTACTCGGAAATGGAGTTTGAGGTGAGGGGTTGGGCCTGGGGGTGGGTTGTAAGTAGGCCTCAGGTCTAATTTCTCAATCAGAACTGGTTTTGACTCTGCCCAAGCCTCTGTTCTTCATGTTGGCCATCTGTGATTTCAGAGGCCTTATAATCCCGCCCGACTTGCAGAGCTCTGCAGTCAAATATCTTCCTGTCAGAAGCCATTCTGGAAGACCAGGACCCACTTGTCCTCTGAAGCACTCCTGAGAGGTAGCCTTGTGGATTCTGTGACTTACCTTTAGAGCTGAATGCATGCTTCCTCTCTTTGGCTCTTTCCTTGTATAGTCTCCAGATGAAAAATATGGACCCAATGGTGAGAAGTCCTAGAAGTATCAGAATGACAGCAACAGCCACAATCCAGGGAGGCAGTCTTGGGAAGAAGGGAGCTAGAACAGAATGCCCAAGAGGAACACTGTTGAGAAAGTCTGAGCAAGTCTACCCATGCCATCTCTCAGTGTCACTGTAAGCAGAAAAATTTGAGCAGGAGTTGACAGATAAAGAGGAATGGAGAGTCCCTTTGGGGGACTGTCCCCTTGTGAAACAAAGGCAATAATGGGCCGATTCATGTCACTACAGAAATCTGACCTTATCAATGCAAAATGGGAGCTAAAAAGATACAGGGGGCAAATAAGGAACAGGAAATGTCACTTCTGTGTGCAACAGAATGGGATTCATTGACAAAATAATCAGGAAAGGTTCCTGCCTGAACCATAGGTAGCTTCTGGGAAATAATGAGAGGATTTGTGTTCTTGAGGACCCTGGGAAGCTAGACTGTACTCTAGCATGGGATGAGGATTGGAAGGGGATAGGAGTGAAGGTAGTGAAACTAAAATAAAGAACTTTGTCTTCTTGTTTATTTAAGGAGAGAAGATTCTTGGCCAGGAATATCCCAAGGGGTGAAGCTTCTCTATCTTTGATTCTCCTAAAATGGAAAACCTATGGTCTGGTGTTGTGGTGTAGCAGGTTAATCCACCACCTGCTGTGCTGGTATCCCATATGGGTTCTGGGTTGAGTCCCAAATGCTCTACATCTGATCCAGCTCCCTGCTAATGCATCTGTGGAAGCAACAGAGGATAGCCCAAGTGATTGGGACTCTGCATTCACGTGGGACACCCGAAAGAATCCCCGGGCTCCTGAATTATGGCCTGGCCCAGCACTGGCCATTGTAGCCATCTGTGGAGTGAACCAGCAGATAGAAGATCTTTCTGTCTCTCCTTCTCTCTCTCTCCTACTCTGCCTTTCAAATAAATATAATAAATCTTAAAAAAATAAAATAAAATAAAATGGAAAACTGAACTTTCTATGAGATCCAGGTAGAGTTTATGCCTTCAGAATCTACTTTTCTGGAGAAGTTGGTAGGATTCCCTCAAGTCTGTAGCAAAAAGATGAGAAGGGAAAAGTAGACAGCCCTGCCATGAGGTCTTCTCTGGACAGCTGTCCCAGGTAGTGTAGCTGTGAGTACTGTGAGCACAGGAACCAGAAGTGGTCCTGCTGACCTGGTATCGAAACCCCTGCTTCCTTCTCCTGGCCAAGCAGGGGGTTCTGGATGCAGCAAGACATGTTCCCCAGGGAGGTGTCTCTGATGACCACTGAAGTAGCCACAGTGAACAGGCCTTCTTCATCAGCACTCCTGGACTCGGACGTGGATGCAAGCTTCTCTCCCCGGGAAGTTCTCCACTGCACCCGCGGCTCTGGGTACCATCCTACTGAGGTGCACTCCAGTCGGATCTCCCCGTTCTCTTGAACTTCCATGTGGATGTGGGGATCAGAGCCCAGCGCTGTAGGGAGAGAAGCTGGCCTTAATATTTTAGTGGATGCCCTTCTGGGAGTCTTAAAACCATAGGGCTACAGAGTTTGAGAGAGGGGTCAAGTAGACTGGGAGTGGGAGGGACTCAAGTCCATAATTTGTCACTCAAGGAAATGAGGCATCAGTACAAGGAATTTCATCTACCTTAGCAGAGAGGCATACCTTCCTGGGATGCAACCTTTGAAATTTAGGCAGAAATGTGATAGGCAGGCATGGGGATGACTGTTTAGCCAGCTGGAACAGGAAGACCAATGGCTTACAGGCAGGTTAGTAGTCGAGGCTGGGGCTCCAGAACTGGGAGAGAGCTCAGTTGTTGGGAGTTATGAAAAGGCTTTGGAGAAGAACTAGCGTTGGGTATTCGAAGATGAACAGAGAAGGAGTATCACTGAGGAGATGGGGAGGTGGAGGTGTTTCCCCTGAGACTGCAGTCCACAATTTAAGTTCCCTTTAACTGTGATGCTGATTCAGAAATTTTCTTAATGTTTTCAACCTCACCTTCCTTTATATCATCATGCCCTAACACAGAGCAACACAGTGCTGCCTTTCCAGTCTGTTCAACCTCAGAAAAACACCGAGCGTCAGAGTTCTTAAACATGTCTACAGCCATGGTTCAAATCCATATTCTAGGTTTGCATATGTGAGAATGAATATTCTTTTCATAAAAAGGGCTGCCACTTTCATCAGATCTCAAAGGTGTCTGCCATTTATAAAAGGCATCTGTTACTTACAAAAGGCAACAACAGTTTTATGCTATCAAATCTCTAGGTTTTTATACCTTTAAGGTATCTTTCATAGAAATGAAATATGAGTTCTATATGATGCTGCACAGGGGGCACTTTGTTATGAAGTGGGGACCCCAAATATCATGCAAGTGGTTTTTTTTTTTCCCCCACACAATGTCTAGACTGCGTAGGAGAGATGACACTCATTTCATCTCCATTTACAATGGCCCAATATTATTTTATCCCATGTGTATAACTGCTCAAAGCATTGGCAAGTGTTTTTCAAACTGTCTTTATTTGAATATATATAAGGAATACACTTGTATATTATGCATTTGAGATTGGTCTAAGTCATAGAAATAGTGTAAGTATACAGTGCTTTTCCAGTGACAACGTGGTTTCCCATATACTGCTCTTACCATTTTTTAACCTAATTACTTAACCTTGCTGGATAATGCTTTCCCAGTCTTACAGTAGGAAAGGCAACCAGAGGAGATCTGCTTGATCTTGAGTGGGAACGGCAGGGCTCAGTGCCCATTTTTCTTCCTGAACGCTAACCATTTTCTTTATCATTTCAATCTGAATTTTGGCTTGAAGCAAAAAAAGTAATTAAAAAAAATCTTTTCTGGGCAGATCGAGAATATTAGCTCCATGATCTTAGGAAATCAGCTCTTAGAGACTGAACCCTAAAGGAGCTTCAGTTCGTTGCACGCTTGCTGCAGCCTTTTGTGCTGGTGGAAAATGGACACATCCTAACTATTCGGCTCTAGGACCTGATCAAGCAGACAAGGTGTACTACTGTGAAAGAGCATCGCACAGCCACAGTTTAGCATTATGTAACTGTTTTCCCAGGCTAGTAGTGGGGGAGATGGGGAGATCACTGCAGGAAACCCTTACAGCAAAGGCCTGTGCGGCGCCCTCACCCCCTGCCCGCTGCTCTAAGGAAGGCCTGCCAACCTCTCCGACCCAAAAGGGATTGGGGAATGGATCCGGTAGTTCTAAAAGTGACGAAGCCACAGGGATATACTCACAGCCTGGGTCCCAGGGAAGGCCGAAGCCCTCTGTCCACTTACCGGCCACCTTCAGGCTCACGGCGGCCTCCTGGTAGCTGCTGTCCTTCCTGAAGATGCACCTGTACTCGCCGTCGTCGGAGGCCCTGACGGCACGGATCCGCAAGGCTGCGCGCCCGCCGGCGAGCACCGCCGGCACCAGGGAGGCCCTCCCGCGGTACTCGGGCATCTGTTCATCCTCCTGCTCGCGCCCCGCCAGGAGCACCAGCACGGCCGGCGAGAAGGTGTGTCGGAACCACCGCAGCTCCGTGCGCTGGGCGCTCGCGTTCACTGGCAGGTGACAGGGCAGCTCAGCGTCTCCTCCCACGACGGCTAGGATGGGCTCCGGGGGTCTGAGAACTTCAAAGGGGGCTGCCCAAAACAATGAAAGCAAACAACAACAGAACCCGTGCAGTCAGGACGTGCGGGTGAGAGCTGGAGGCTGACACAGGCCGGGTTCCCATCCTGTCTCCCACTCCTTTGACAGCCTGGGGAGACGCCATGTGGATTCCGGAGGGAGTCACTAGGGAGAACTGGGCAGGATCCCTTATGGGGGAGACTTACTTGAATCCAGGGGGGGCAGCTGCAGGAGGATGAGGGTGAGCAGACACCTGGGGAGGGCGCTTGGGGAAACGGCCATCTCCCTCCTTCCTGGGACAGCAACACACAGGAATGAGTCCCTGAGGAGCTTCAGCCTAGGACAGGCATGCACAGGCGGTAACTGGGGGTTCTGCAGACCGCCTGCTCTGCCTGCATCTCCCTACAGTTCCTTCCAACCTGGAGGGCTCTGGCCATTTGCATCTGCAGCTCTTTACCTTCTCCCAGGTGGGGATTTCCATCTTACTGTCGTCAGCACCTGAACACCTCCCTACGTTTAGACCGGCAGGTATAAGACAATGAACCAGACCCTGAAAACCCAAAGGAGAAGTCAGAGAAGAGGGGCGTTGTACCCATTAGTGGCTTGCATTTAAATGAACAAATCTTGGAATTCACTACGCTAAAAAGCTTCCTTCCAAATACAATAATTTGGCATTTGCCTTTAGCAAGGATAATAAAGATGAAGGCATGGAGACAAAAATGAGGACCGAGGAAATGAAAAGCGAGAAAGATGGGAGGAGATGGGGAGGGGTGGCTGAAGAACAATAAGGGGGCCTAGGGCGCAGGAGGAAGGAGTTGGGGGCTAGAACTGTGCTCTGCTGGCTGCCCACCCTCCCAGGGGCACTCACTGACCTGGATGATCTTGGAGGAAAAGGCTCCAGGAACCACAGCTTCCAAGTGCGAAACTGCTTAGGGCCTCTGGGCAAAAGTTAAAAAAGCTGGCAAGAGAAGGAAGGGGACGTGCTCTCAGGAAGGCCTGCCCCCAGGTGGCCCGGTACATCTGCTTTGGGAAAAAAAAAAAAAAAAAAAAGAAGAAGAAACATTTTCCAGAGAGATGGGAATGGATCAGGAAGCTGGACTAAATAAAAAGGATTGAGAAGAAAAGGGGGTGGGCTGCGGTGGGGATTGACAGAAATTCTCAAATGAGCTGTGAGGCCTGCAGGCAGTTAATTCATCTCTCCAAGCCTCAGTTCTTCTATCTTTTTATATATATATATTTTTAAGATTTACTTATTTTTATTTGAAAGGCAGAGTTACACAGAGAGACAGAGAGATTTCCATCCTCTGGTTCACTTCTCAAATGACCCTAAAGGGTACTGCTGGGCCAGACCAAAGCCAGGAGCTTCTTCCAGATCTCCCATGTGGGTACAGGGGCCCAAGCACTTGGGCCATCTTCTGCTGCTTTCCCAGGTGCATTAGCAGGGAGCTGTACTTGGAGTGGAGCATTTGGGACTTGACCCAGTGTCCATAGAGGATGCCAGTGCTGGCAGTGGTTTAACCCGCTATGCCACAGTGCCAACCCCATTTCTTTTTTAATCTTTAAAATGGAATAATATTTATAATACTGTCCTTAAAGATGTGTTGGGAATATTAAATGAGATTAAGCAGGAAAGGGGCTTAGCACATAATAGGGACTCAGAAGAAGGTAAATTGTTAATCTGTTATTATTTCTCTTTTTTCTTTTTAAAGATTTATTTATTTATTTGAGAGGCAGAGTTACAGAGAGAGACGGAGAGAAAAGTCTTCCATCAGCTGGTTCACTCCCCAAATTGCTGCAACAGCTGGGGCTGGGCCAGTCAGGAGCCAGGAGCTTCTTCTGGGTCTCCCACATGGGTACAGTGGTCCAAGCACTTGGGACATCTTCATCTTCCATTGCTTTCCCAGGCACATTAGCAGGGAGCTGGATTGGAGGTGGAGCAGCCAGAACTCAAACCATGGCTCATATGGAATGCCAGTGCCACAGGCAGAGGCTTAATCTACTGTGCCACAGTGCTAACCCCAACCTGTTATTATTTCTGTGAGTTGAAAAATGAAAGGGTAGGGAGGGACCTAGGCAGCCTCTTCTTTGTCAAGTACCCCCTGAAGCTGTGGTTCTTTGGCACAACTGCCCTGGGGGCTATCCTTGAAGGTTGCCAGTGAATGGGTCAGCTCAGGAGGTGAGGTCCAGTTACAGCCCAAAAGCCATCTCCCTCAAAGCAACTCATGAGGCCTGCTATTCCTTATTTTGGACCAAACCTCTTATAGTTATGGGAAAATATTTTAATAGTTTTATAAAGTGGAAATCACCTTTCATCCACCAACTAGTGATAGTCTCAATTCCCAATTCAGCGTATTTCCTTCTAGATTTATTTTGTGCTTATGTACATCATAAAAACAATCAATATGGGGTTTTGCATAATTCAAAAAATTAATAGTCACATGATTGCCAGTATTGTAGGACATTTTGAGTTTCATTTCTGTTATGAACAATGTAATTCTTAATTTAAAAAATTGGATAAACAGATGACCAGTATACATATTTATGGGGATAGTGTGGTATTTCAACACATATAGACAGCATACACTGACCAAATCAGAGTAATTGACCTGTCCATCTCATCATTTCTTTATGTTCGGAGCCTTCCAGGTCCTCTCTTATTTGCTCATCCATACATAATAGGTTATTGTGGGCTGTCCTCACCTCACTTTGCTGTGGAATAAATAAGGTGTATTTTATATAAGTCTTTCTTCACACCTTGGATGACTTCCTGATAAACTGTCTGATAAAATTCCAGAGGTGAGCCTGGGAATCAAAGGGTATGAGCCCCTGGCAGAGTCCCTTCCTGGAGTGTGTCACTTCCTTCTCAGCTGCCCAAGTCACATTGTTTCTATTGGGAGTGGTGAAATGATCAAATAACTATTTTATTACGGCTTTATTTGGTCATTTTTCATGTGTTAATTAGCTATTCAGTACTTTCTAGAAAGAGCTTCTGAGGTCAGTTTCCCATTGTTTTCAAGACTGGTGTTGGTGCTGTTTCTTACCTGTCTATATGAGCTTTTTAGACATCAAAGATGTCCATACTTTATTCTATTAGTGAAAAAAAAAATCCCTCCTAGCCTTTTTATTTGCTGTGTAATTGGGATTGTGATTAAGACAAAAGACGTTTGCTCCATTTGACCCATCCGACTGCCAGAAGAATGATTTTTCCCCCAATACAAATGTGATCATGTTGCCTTTTTGCTTAAAAATTCCACCGCGTGTCCCTAGTGAGCTCAGCACCAAGTTCAAGCACCTTAATTGGGTTAAGAAAGTGCTGTTGGTCTGGTTTGATTTGGTGAGGAGCATGCTCTAGTAGACACCTACTCCCTTCTCTCACCTTTCTCTCCCCTCTACTTCCCTACCTGCCCCATTCTACCCTCACCTACCCACCTACTAGGAAGAATTTATGTAATGCGTGCGGTTCCTTCAACCCAGAACCTCTAGGTTGTGCTACTTGTCTTCACCTGCTCAGAACATCCTATTTCCTGCATGACAAACTCCCGTGTTGCCTTCAAACACTCATCGAAGGGCTCTTCCTTCTGCAGCCTCTTCCAGAAGCAATGAGAGGCAGCCTCACTTCCAGTGCTTCTCCTTTGCTCTCTTATAACATCTTCCTGTGATGCCCCAGGCACCCAGAGAATGAATCCCCTTCCCTCCCAGCACAGCCCAACCCAGGTGAGACACACCTTGGAAGTCCTAGGTCTTATCTATGAATCTAAAGTAAAATTAAAGCATTTCACTTCATTCTATGTGAGATTTGTTTCCATATGACTCTGGATAGCTTTTGCCTTCTCCAAGTACTCAGAACTCTCCAGAAAGCAGGTTGATCCTGGACACAGCTAGCTTCCTGGCACATCTGAGCTGGGCCTGGCTGTGAAGCAGATGTGTTTATTGTCAAATTCTACTTCTGAGCTTATCTTCCTCTCCTAAACTGCATTCTTTCATTGCATACTCTCATCTTCTCTCAGCCAGCAGACTGAAATAGAATTCGCAGCTTAAATCAAACCAGTTGATTCTTGGCTTGTCTGCCCTGATTTTAGCTCCCGGTTAGACTTAACTTTCTCAAAATGCCACTTACAATGTTTCCTCTACTTCATCTCACTTCTGTCACTGGTCTTCTTCAGTTAGACTTCTGGCCCAGGCTTTGTGTTCCCAAAGGACATTGGCGGTAAGAGAGGCTTTTACTTGCACCCGAGGGAGCCAACTGAAAAGCAGAAGGGCTTGGTAAGAAAAGCAAAACTATTTAGAACCCAAGCTATTGCCTCGGGAAGCCATCAGTGCATTGGGAAACTGCCTGGGGGTGACCTTTCAGAGGCACAGGATGGGCGTAGGGAAGGAAGAGACTGAAGAGCTGACAAATCAGAGATTTAGAAAGCAACTCTGTTCTCCAAAAATATGGAATGCTATGATAGAAATCGCCAGGTATCCTCTGACAGTCTCCTTCCAGCCTGTTCTCGGCCTCTTACTCCTGGCCCCAGACCCTTGTTCCTTGTCTACTTGTCCCCTGCTGTCCAGACTCTCTCCCTGATTACCACGCATCATTAGGAGACCTCCACAGTAACTTCGGAAAGGACAAATGGGTCAGCTTGCACCCGGCTCAACTCCCGAGGAAAACATTGAGACAATCGCCCTTCTCTCCATCCTCGTCATTAAAATGCTGTTGGCATTTTTCATTTTCCTGTAACCTGAGGCTTTGGGCTCTCGGGTGCAGGAGCTCAGAACCCCAGAGACGCAAAGCCACTGGACAAGCGCACCGTGTGCTCTTTCCATCTGTAGAAACAGGGGTTTCTAAAAGGTTCATTGTTTGTGCCCCAGTGGGGGCTAAAACAGAATTTTCCAAGCCCCTTTATGGGTTTCTTTAGAAAATGAACAAAACTTAACCAATTATTATTTGCATTAAAGATGGGGGAAGGAAGATGGCATTGTGTGTGGAACATACAGTGAAGCACCTGATCCTTTCTGTGAATATGTGCTTACTGACACATTATCAGATAAATCCTGAACATGCTCTTTGTTTCGTTTTTGGTTCTTGGAAACCTGAGGGAAGTTCCTTTTGGCTTCAGTTGCTAAGAGTTTTGCTGTATCTGGGAAGCTAAGTCTTGGGGGAGGTGAGCACTGGGCAGCTGGCCATGAGGCTCTGATTGCCTTGGTCACGCTGAAGCCAGCAGCCCACGCCCAGCGCAGGCTGTCCAGGTGGATCTGCCAGTATTGGTTCCAGTGCCTGGTCTGCACACTCCGGAGAGGGTCCCTCACACCTGGGGACCTCTCCGTGACTGGATGTGGGAGGAATTCGTTTTAGGATTTAGGCTCGTGGTGTGTAACTTGGGGTCAGACTCACGGAAGCAAGGGGTTTGCTCTGGATGAATGCTTTCAGGAAGGGGGAACAAGTCTTCCATCAATATTTCAATAGTTTTTATTAGGAAGTGGGAGGAACAGAGTAGGCTGAAGTTGTGCTTGGTAAAGAAGCAAGAGTTTCTCTGTTTAGCAGGAGTTGGGGGGAGGGAGGCACCATCATATTATGGTTCGTATTGTCTTCCTTTTCTGCCCCTCTGGGCTCTGACATGATTATAGAGTGGCCTTGTTAATTTGGTGTTTGTTTGAAGTCGGCAGGCATTCCAAATCTGTCAATCATAGTCACAGAACAGCCTTGTTCAATGGTTGGTGTGGTGTGAAATTGTTAAGTAGGAAACACTCACATAGCTGTGAGTGCTTGGCCAACTCCTAGCTACCAGCGGCTGGGCCTGATTTTTCTTTCCCAGTCAGAACCCCAATTCTCTTTCAAATCTAAGGGTATCTGGGGCTCTATAGTCTTTATTTTCTCTTCCAATTTTGGAAGAGCTGGAATCGTGTTTCTGTATGCAGATATGTAGATGGCTTGACTTACCAGGAATCAAGTTCACCCTTCTGCTCTCCATTTTG